TCTTTCAAGGGGAGAGGGGAAGTAAGACAAAAACTTAATACACCCAGAGCCCATTATTGTGTGAATGAGCCCCCAGGACAGCTAGATGGAGCAGTGAACAGAGGATGGGGCCTCGAGTCTAGAAGACTCCTCTTCCTGAGTTCAAATCCGACCTCAGACACTTACTAGCTGTGTGACCCTGGGCAAGTCACTTCACCCTGTTGGCCTCAGTTTCCTCATCTGTAAAATGAGCTGGAGAAGGAAATGGCAAACTGCTCCAGTATCTTTGCCAAGAAAGCAGTTGACATGACTGAAAAGCCACCAAACAACAACAATGAAGCCCCAGGAAATAGTCACATCATTTGAATCTGCATTATTCAAAGTTATAACTATATGAAAAATGTAGCCATTGGTTCCAGTCCGGTGGAAATAGGCAATGAACATTTAAATAATGCAACCACTTCTCAGGAATTCCTTTTTCGTGCTAATCCAGATCTCACTCTAAGTGTTTGTTAACTGAATAAAAAATTTTTTAAAAATTTTTGAAGAAGTCTGGATTGAGGCTTAGGAGGCCTGAGCTGCAGATCTGCTGGGCCCTCCCCTCTCCCTCCAGCTCTTACCAAGATACTTTCCGGTACAGTTTCCCTTGGAGCTAAGCCCTGACTACTGCCCAGGGCTATAATTAAGATAAGGTGTTTGAAAGTGTTTAGAAACTGTACATTAGTACAATACAAATGCCAGAGAGTGTTAATGGCAGAATTAGAGGCCCTGTGACTGAAAGGGTGGGGGAGATCTGGGGAGTGGCCCATGTATGAGGCTATCCCTTCCAAAGAGATTTGGGATAGAATCTGGGGAGGGGCAGACTTGGGGAGGGGGCCTCCAGTGGGAGGGGATGTTTCCAGAAGTGTGAAAGCTTCCAGGGTGGGTCCCTGTTCCAGCTTCAAAGCCACCAAACAATGTGCCTGCCTCAGTCGCCTTCCCCTGTAATATGGGCTCTGGCACCATCCCCAAGGCAGAGTGCAGGGGTTATGGTCACAGCCCCACCCAACCCATCCCAGACACACATAAACCCCCTCGGTGCTTCATGGGCCTGGTGAAGGCAGGGTATGAGACAGATCTGGGTAACAGATGGGATCCCAGGCCCAGGGGGAGGGAAGCGGAGGTCTGGATTAAGCACGGATTCTGTTCGTCTTTCCAACTAACAAGAATCAGGGGAGGAGGGACATGGAGATGGGGGAAGGAAAAGAGCTGGGCAGAGACCAAGGAAGAGACAGAAATGATGTGCTGTGTGAGTGCGACCTTGTGCATATGAAAGTGTGTGTGTGTTTGTGCGTGTGCGTGCTGAACAGGAAGCCGGAATACCCACCTTCCAGCCCCAAGCCCGCCACTGGCCCGCTGTGGACTCAGAGACACCACTTCTCACTCACAGATGGTTTTCCCATCAGTAAAATGGGGGAAAGACCACCTGAGCTGCCTCCTTCTGAAGGGAGCTGAGAGGAACAAAAAGCAGGGGGCATGGAAAGCCTCTGGGTAAACTGAGCTAGGTTAGTGTTGGATGGCTGTCCAGGGGAGAAGGAACAGCGTAAGAGAACTGAGCCTCAGAGGGATGGGGCGGGACAGAGCTGGGCTCAAGACCCACCTCCGACCATTGTTAGCTATGTGATCCTGGGAAAGTCACTTAAGCTGTCTCAGGCTCCATTCAGGGTCAGAAGAGCCTACGTCCATCCTTCTGGGTGTGTGTCCACAGACAGGTGGGAGTAATACCCCTGCAGGTGAGGCGCTCCAGGCCTGGGTGGCTGAGCCCCACTCTGATCCACGGGCTCCTCCGTAGTCACCTGACTGGACTACGTACCAGGGCCTGGGTGCTGGGACCGTTAGAGACACCCAGTTTGAAGTCAGGAAGGCCCAGGGTCAAAACCCACTTCTGACACTTATTAGCGTGTGATCTGGGCTGATCACTTCACCTCTTTGAGGTTTTTTCTCATCTATAAAATGGAAATGATATGGGAGGGGACATGATGGCATAATGCCTGTGAAGTGTTCTGGGAGCTTTAAAACAAGACACTAACCTCAGGATTTGGTATCTACTTATACACGTTGTACACATTGCCTCCCTTGCTGGAACAACAACTCCCTGAGGGCAGGGACCATGCTCCTCAAATGCAAGAATGTATCCTCAGAACTTAATACAGGCCTGGCACACAGTAGGTGCTTTATCAATGTCCACTGGCACATAGTAGGTGCTTATTTAATGCTTGTTAATTAAGGATTCCATCTCCAGCAGGTCCAACTCTCATCATCAGGAGGAGGCATGCTGGACTTGTAGTCAAATGAGCTCAAGAACCAATCTGACACTTCCTAGTTCTGGGATTTGGCATGTCACTTTTTCCCTATGTGCATCAGTTTCCTCATCTGTAAAATGGGAATAATAATAATGATGATAATGATAATACCTGCTTCAGGAGCCTGTCATGAGGTTCCATTGAGATAATGTATGCCCAGCGCTTTGCAAACTACAGGGATGGGGGCAGGGACTAGTCTTGTGTCTGGGGTTTTTTCACAGTATAAATCCTTCCTACCCTACAGGCTACACTTGACACATTGGCCACGCCCTCTTCCCAGATACTCTCTCCTGGTTTGCCTCCTACATCTCTGACTGCTCCTTCTCCGTCTTTGTTGGCTCACCACCCATATCACACCCTCCAAGGTTCTGTCCCAGCTCTCTTCTCCCCACACTCTCTGTTTTGGTAACCTCACCAGCTCCCATGGCTTAAATTAGTCTATGCAAATGATTCTCAGATCTATATAGATCTCCCTGACCTTTAATCCTGGAGCACAAATTGCCTATTAGACATCTCAAATTGGATGTCCCAGAGACATCTTCAATTCAACATGTCTAAAACTGAATTCATCTTTCCCCCAAAGCCTCCCCTCTTCCAAACTTCTTGATTCCCATTGAAGACACCACTATCCTTCCAAGGTTCATAATCTCACCAGCATCCTGAACTCCTCACTCTCACCTCACATCTTCATTTATTGTTCAGTTGTTTCAGTCATGTTTGACTCTTTGTGACCCCATTTAGGGTTTTCTTGGCAAAGACACTGGAGTGGTTTGCCATTTCCTTCTCCAGCTCATTTCAAAGATGAGGAAACTGAGGCAGGCAGGGTGACTTGCCCAGGCTCACACAGCTAGTAAGTGTCTGAGGCCAGACTTGAACTCAGGAAGGGGAGTCTTCCTGACTCCAAGTGCATTATGGCACTACCATCTTCCCCACATCTCCAATCAGAGGCCAAATCTTGCTGTTTGTAACCTTCACGTCTCTTACCTCTGATACCTTCTCTGCACTCACAACAGCTACCATCACAGCTCATCTCCTCTTGCCTAGCTCATTGTAACTGCTTCCTGATTGGTGTCCCTGCCTCAGACCTCTCACTCTCCTACTCTAGTTGAGTCAAAACACAGCTGTAACTTTCCTCAAGCAACTCCTTCCGTGTAGTTCCTCCATTTGACCAATCCCAGTGGCCTCCAATAGGAGACCTTTAAAATAAAACACAACTCCTCTGTTGGATCTGTAAAGCCCTGCAAAGCCCGGCCACCATCTTCCTTTCCAGCCTTACTGAACATTATTCCCCTTCCCACACTCTGAGGCAGGTTGGCTTTCTTCCTGGTTCTCACTCATGACCTCCATTCCCTCTTGACCCAGCTAGTTACTGAGGGCAGAACGCTCACTCCTCATCTCCAGAGAATTCCTCTTTCTTTAAGAGGCCCATCTTGTGCTTAAATCTTTTCCTGATCCTCCCCACTGCTACTGCCCTCCCTCCTTCCCAAACTACCTTGTAGTTAGGACTTTGTGTGTGTATAGTATATTTATATGTATATATGCAGGTGTTAACTTCCGAATTATACACTACATTTTCGTATGTATTTGCTGTCTCCCCCATTAGAAGGGAAGTTCCCTGTGAGTAGAGATTGTTCCATTCTGTGTACTTGCAATCCCAGTACCTGGCACATAGTAGGTACTTAATATTGCTTGACTGATTGCCTTGGTAACAATGCAGATGGACACCAGTTTGTGATCCGTCCACCACAGCACAATGCCGCTCATTTACAAATCATAAAAATGCAAGCTATCATCATCATCATCATTATGATTCTTCCCTAGACTCCCCCTCCCCTCCCCTTGGGCTCGTCCTGTTCTCACAGGAGTCTTTGGGTTGGCACCCTCCACAGGCACGGCGGTTTGCCATTCGAAGCGAGGTTCCAGGCAGGCCCCCTGCGGATAGGGGAAAGAGCAGTAGGGGAGATGGAGGATCCCTGAGGCCTCTCTGGTGGGTTGTGTGCTAGAGGACAGGAGCCCAGGCCAAGCCTACCCTCCTTGAACTGTTCCCAAGGCCCAATTAAGTCACGTCTGGGACCAAACTGGGCATCTTCCCCAATTTCCCTAAGGGGGGTTCCAAAGAAGGGAGGAGACAAGAGCACACCAGGCTCCTTTGTTTCTCACTGCCCAGGCCACCGTTTCACCCTATTCCCACTTCCATGGCTCATCTTAGACCAAGGAACCCCGCTCTGACCCCCATGGGAGGCCAAGTGCCCTGAGGACAGGAAGGCAGTTCTGCCCATCAGGCCTGTGACTCCCCAAGGACAGGGCCTGAGTCTCCCCATCAGGGTCAGGGTTCCTTGAGGGCAGTAACTGTCTCTCCATATGAGCATGGAGGTATCTGAGGACAGACAGAGACCCTGCGTCCTCCATCAAATTAGGAGCTACCAGAGAGAAGGAATGGTACCTGTGTCCCTCATTCTGTAAGACATCCAGAAAGATGATGCATGAAGACCTTTTGATGATTTTTTAAAATGGGTGTCTAAAATTATTTTTAGGTAATTGGGAAATATCTAAGGAAACAAAAATATTTTCTTAAAAAAAGATTTTTTGATGGTTAGGGGAAAGAGGCAAAGGAGAAGGGTGAGGGTCAGAGCCGCCTTCAGCCCGGCCCCGGCCACAGCTCCTGAGCTCCAGCCCTACCTGGACAGGGATAAGAGGCTCTTTGTCATCAATGTCAATCAGCACTTCATCCCGGGGGGTCGGAAGACTAATGTCATCTATGGGGAAAGGAGAAAGGCAGCTATCAGATGGGCCCCCAGCAGGTACCACTCTCCCTCTGGGCTCAACCCACCACTGTAGACCAGGGCTGGGTGCCTTGGGGGCTGGCACCATCCCAGAGAGATGGGGGCTCTTGGGGACTGCTCACTTATGCTCCTGTTATGTGCACGGCTGTATTTCCTTCTCCCTTGACCACCTCTGTTCTTTTTCTCTTTTTTCTCTCTTTCTCTTTTCTCTTTTTCCTTTTTCCCCTCTCTCCATCTGGATTTTGGTCTCTCCTCTGATTCTTTCTGTCTGTGTCTCTCATCTCTGACTGTCTCTTATCCCATCTATACTCTCTTTTCCCCTTTGTCTCTATCTCCTCTCTCTCTCTTGATTCCCTCCTTCTCTGCTTCTTTCTTTCTATCCTTCTCTCCCTTTCCTTATCTCTCCTTTATCTCACTCCCACTCTCTCCTTTCTCTCTCCCTCTCCTGCTATTCCTTCCTATCTTCTTTCTCTTTCTCTTCCTCTCTTTCTTTCCCTTTCTTCTTTCTCTTGTTTTCACTTTCTCTCCCACAATCTCCCCATTCCTCTCCTTTCCTTTTCTCCTTCTCTGTTGTTTTTTAGCTCCTGTTCTCATCAATCACTCTTCCAACAGGCCTTCCCACAAGCCTCCTGTGTGCTTGTGTCTGTGCTCAGCTCCACAGCAGGAAGAAAAGAGAACGGCTTATCTGGGTTTGCATCTTATCCTTGTATTAGATTACAAGTTCCCTGAGGACAGGGATGGTGTCACATTTCACCTTCATACCCTGGTCCTGGTGCCCTGCAAGCCAGGCATGTGATAAACGTTTGTCAGAATGGATTATAACGTTTGTTGAAGATGCACCTTCCACCCTCAGGGAGTTTACAGTCCAAGAAAGCAAGTATAGGTTGGGAGAGCCCTGTAAAGACTGTGGGCCTTCATCCCAGGGGATGGGGCTGATGAAGCTATCCCCTCCACATCCCCCCACAGGGCCCACCCTCCGTCCCTCCATGACCTCCCCAGCAGACCCAGGCCCCATCCCTCTGTACCAGAGCTTGTCTCAGGAGGGGAGTTCTCGGACGAGTACGGGTCACACAGAAACTGCTCCAGTGAATGAATTGTGCATTGGCCCACCACAGGCCGCCGTCCAAACTGGCGGTTGTCGATGACCTTGATGATGATGGGTGGGCAGTACAGCCCCTCCCGAGGCAGGTGCTATCTCGGGGTAAGAGAGAGGGAGAGTGCATGAGCTCTGGATATCATCCCAGACGCCCTCCTCAGCAGCACCGCAAGCCTTCTGCTTTGGAATAAACCTACAAGCGGATCTCTGTTATCTGAAGAATGATGGAGACCCCATCAGGCCCAAGACCTGAGTGCGAGGGAAGGTGGAGCAGAACCCAGGGGATGCTGCTTGTGCGCTTACGCTTTTCCTATAATAACAGCATTAACGTTGTCAAGTCGCTTAATAATATCATCTTATTTGATCCTCACTATGACCCTATGAAGTAGGCACTAATATTATCCCTGTTTTACAGATGAGGAAACTGAGACTTAGAAAGAGGAAATGATTTGCCTCAAGTCTCAGGGCTAGGGATGTGTCCAAGGTGGGATTTGAACTCAGATCTTCTTGATTCCAAGAACACAGATCTATCCACTTCCCATATTTCCAAATGAGAAGAACGGAAGCCAGAGGGATCCGGTGACTTCCCCAAGATCACACAGCAAGTCAGAAACGAGTTTGGAGGCTCAAAAGTCAGCCTCCAGATGCCCAGACATCTAAAGGCATCCCACCCACGGATCCCAGGGGAGAAGGGACGGGGCAGGGGACCAGCCTCTCACCACGTCCATGAAGAGGGTGTTGACATCAAAGTTGGGGTTCTTCCTGATATTCTTGATGACGCAGGACTGAACGACCTGATCCCCACACTCCACTACCAAGCTTGGGGACGTGACGCTGGCCAGCTGGTAGCTCTTCAGATTCCGGAGGCCCCAGGCCAGGATCTGCAAGGGCAGGGTGGGACACAGGCCATGCGAGAGGGCCTGGGACCTGGGCCTTGTCCCCCCACTCGCCTCCCGAACCCCAACTCACCTCAATGGCTGTTCTCTGAAGAACGGGTTTGATGCCTTGGGGGACCACGTAGATGTTTGCCTCTCTCTGGGGAGGAGGGTATGGAAGGTCTGTGTCTTCAGTCTACAGAGAGGGAGGGATGGAGGGGGAAGAAGGAAAGAGAGATATAAAGAGCAGAGACAGAAATAAAGATGGAGACAAAGAAACAGACATGGAGAGGCAGAGAGACAGAAAGAGAGACAGAGAGAGAAATAGAGACAAAGAGACAGAAATGGAGAGGCAGAGAGAGAGAGAAAGTGAGAGACAGAAATAGAGAGGCAGAGAGACAGAGAGAGACAGAAATGGAGACAAAGAGACAGAAATGGAGAGGCAGAGAGAGAAAGAGAGATTTTTACATGTGACACAATAATTGAAAGAAATTTTAAAAAGTCCTCATTGAACAGGAGCCAATGGCCCCAAACATCCCTCCCTGCCCCTCCTCCGCTAGCCTGCCCTGGCCTCCCATAGCACTGGGACCAGGACCCAGCGCTGTGGTCCCAGTAGGTCCCAGCAGTCAGCCAAAGCTGCTGAATCAAAGGGATGACATGGAATGGAAATGAGCAGATAGGGAAGGAGATCAAGCCCAAAGCATTTATTAAGCACCTACTATGTGCTGGCACTGTCCTAAGCACTGGAGAGATGAAGAAAGTAAAAAAAGAGGGCCCCTGCCCTCAAGAGTTCCCATTCTAGTGCGGGTTACAGCATGCGAATAACTAGGTCCCTACAAGATAGATAGAAGAGTAGACAGGAGGAAATCTGAGAGGGGAGGGCATGAGAGCAGGGGAGGCGGGGGTGGGGGGACGGGAAAGACCTGCAGAAGATGGGATTTGAGCAGAGTCCTGAGGGAAGCCAGGGGAGTTGTGAGAAGAGAGGAAGGGGAGCATTTCAGGATGTGGTGGAGGGGGCACAGCCAAGGCAAAAGCCTGGCATCGGGAGATGGAGTGTGTCATGTGAAGAGCAACAGAAAGGCTGGTGTAGTCAGATGCATGGAGCGCAGGGAGGCGAGTAAAATACACTGTGAAGGGCTTTACACAAGTAGGGAAGATGCTTCTTAGAACATAGGTGGGAGAGCATGAAAGTTCTATACAGAAGTGCAAGGCTACCTCCCACCTACTCTGTATCTGTAATCTGTATGTCCACAGTTGTCTGCATGCTGTCTCCCCCATTAGAATGGGAGCTCCTTGAGGGCAGGTTCTTTGTTTGACTCCTTGCCCAGGGTCATAAAGTATCTGAGGCGGGATTTGAACTCAGGGGGATGAGTCTTCCTGACTCCAGGCCCAGTGCTCTGTGCACTATGGCACCCCCTAGCTGCCCAGGTTGTGAGGATCAAATGAGATAATATTTGGAAAGCCCTGAGCACAGTGACAGGCATATAGTAGGTGCTACATAAATGCTTTCCCCCCAACTCCAAGCCCTTCTTTCTAAACACAACACCAGGTTGTCCTTCTAACTTTGCATTTATTTGGGTATATTCTGCATTCACTTACATCTATTCATCCCCCATGGGGACTATTCCTACCTTTCTTTTATCCCCAGAACCCAGACCTGGCTGGGGTTCTCTCCTCGTTCTTTCCATCTCTTTGCCCTTGGGAGAAAACGTAAGGACAGGAGGAAGCTGCCCCCCTGAGCTGCTGCAGCAGGCCAGGGAAACCCAAGGACTAGCTTCTTTCCCCATTCTAGTTTTGTTATCTCCCCTGAAATGCCCAGGGAAACTGCAATCAGGCAGGACCTGGAGAACTCGCCCATTTGCCGACAGAACACATTCCTGTCCGGGTCCCCTCACTTTCTTTAGTATCCAGCCTGGTCCCCATCTCTGACCTCTTCCACATTCCGGGAGAGCTCAGGAGCGGCAAGGTCCCTTTAAACAGGAAGCCCCCCCCCAACCCCAAGCATATTGCTCACAATATCTCCAGAACCCAGATGATGGCAAGATGGGGGCAGGGAGGTAAAGGAGAGAAAGTACCGTTTGGATGAGACCCTCAAGGAAGAAGGCAGGTGCACACAGCTGCGGAGAGCCAGGCCCAGAGAAGGACAGGAGAGAACAGGTAAAGAAGGCAGTTAGAACAAGCCGAAGTCTGGGTGCTAGACCCAGGTCATCACTCCCAGATACCCAGAGGCCTCTGGGAGGCCCCCCTTTACTCCATGCTGCTCCAGAACATTTCAGAGACTTCTACATCCTGATTCTTCCTCTGCAAAAACGAGTGTTGGCTCAGATGACCCAGAGGAGGCATCTCTTTCTCTTTCACAGACGAGGAAAGGAGGTGACCAGTCCTGGGTCACACAGCTAGCCAGCGATTCATGCAAGCTTTCAGTATTTCTTGGCCTGAATTGAATTTGCCCTTTACAGTAGGATCCTCTCTGATCTCCCACCTGGCCAGACTTGCCTGTGCTTACACTTCCTTCCCTGTAACATCCTTGGCTGAAGAACATTCAATGGCTCCAGACTGCCCACTCCATCAATCCCAAATCCCTCTGTCTGCACTTCAGGCTTCATTCATCTCTACGGTCCCCCCTGTTCCAGCCAAGTGCATCCCTTCACCGTCCTCTGCACACTCTATCCTCCGGCAACCACCCCCACTAATGCTACTACCACTCCCTTACACAAACAGATCCTGCCCACATCCCTCAGTTCAAGCTACAAGAATGTATTAAGCACCTACCATGTACATCTCTAGGTACTAGAGATACAAAGACAAAAATGAAATAGTCCCTATCCTCAAGGACCTTTCCACTGAGGGAAAACATGAACATAGAAGAAAAATGGAGAAAGAAAAAAAAACAGTAAAAATTAGGGGATCAGGAAAATCTTCCCATTGTAAAAACTGGACCTTGAAGGACAGCTGAGATTCTAAAGGGCATGGATGAGGAAAAAATGCACGCCAGGCATTCTGGTCTCTAGATTCAAAGGCACAGAGATGGAGGCGCAAGTTTGGGGAGCACAGAGCAGGCCTGTTTGTCTGGAACTGAGGCTCCGTGAAGAGTAGAGATGTCCGCAAAGGCAGGCTGAAGTCAGACTGGATTTTATCCTCGGGGCTCTTGGGAGCCACTGAAGATTTTTTAAACATGTTAGGAAGTGGTAAACCACTCCAGCATCTTTGCCAAGAAAACCCCAAATAGGGTCACCAAAGGTTGGATGTGACTGAAAACGACTGAGTGACAAAAAGTTATATGGTCAAGGCGGACTTCAGAGAAACCTGGAAGGACTTATATGAACTGATGCTGAGGGAAATGAGCAGAACCGGAACATCGTACATAGTAACAGCCGCATTGTGCGATGACTGACTTTGATAGGCTTAGCTCTTCTCAGCGATGCAAGGATCTAAGACATCTCCAAAGGTCTCATGATGGAAAATGCTATCCACACCCAGAGAAAGAACTATGGAGTCTGAATGCAGATCAAAGTATATTATTTCCACTCTCTTCTCTCTTTTTGTTTCTTCTTTCTCGTGGTTTCTCCCCTTGGTTCTAATTCTTCTTTACAACATGACTAGTGTGAAACTAGATTTAATATGAATGTATATGTAGAGCCTATATCAGATTGCATGTTGTCTTTGGGTGGGAGGAGGGGAAAGATGGGGAGAAAATTTGGAACTCAACATCTTATGGAAGTGAATGTTGAAAACTAAAAATAAATTAATTAATTTTTTTAAAAAGTAATATGGTCAGACCTGTACTTTAGGAAGATTGTTTCAGAAGCATTGTAGAGAATCAATTGGCCAGTAGAGAGAGAGAAGGCAGGAAGACTAATTAGTAGTCAGACAAGAGGATATGGAGGCTGGAGGTAGGGTCATAGCCTTGTGAGTGGAGAGGAGGGCACATCTCCCCCTGGATGTCCTGCCGCTTCTCACCATCGTGATACCCAATACCAGACTCACCATCTTTCCTCACCCCGCCCCAGCTTTCATAATTCTATAAATGGCACAACCAGCCTCCCCGTCATTCAGGTTCAAAATGCTGGCAACATCTTCGATTTTTCCCTACGACCCTATTTCCCTATGAAGTAAGCCGTGACTCTGGCATTCAAGGCCCTCCTCGAAGACTGTCAACTTCCTTGTCCAGCTTTCTTTCAGGCCGCTCCCCTTGATACTGGTCCCAGCCTAATCGCACTCATCCACGTCCCTGGTTCTCAGGCCTCTCAGTGCCTTTGCCTTCGCTCTCCCCGAAGCTTGCACCAATGACGGCGTCCATTCCAGCCCACCCCCAACAGCTCCCAGAGGGCAGAGCCTGGGCTAGTTTCTTTTTTTGTAGTCTCTTTGCCTAACACAGCACCTTACACAAAGCAGATACTAACTATTTGTCTAATTGAATTGCCATGGTCTCCCCCATTGACCATGTGAGACCAAAGACAAGGTCTTCTCCATCACACCAGGACTGTCCTGAGAGCAGGCCCTATGTCGCCCCCCTCAGAGCTGGGGGTCCCTGAAAGCAATGTCAGTCAAGAAGCACCTACTATGCACCAGGTGTTGTGCTAAGCACTGGGGACGCAAAGGAAAAGGACAAGTCCTGCCCACAAGAAGCTCACAGTCTAGGGAGACGAGACACAAACAACCAACGTAAAACAAGACGTACGTTAGGCGGGGCAACCTAAGAACAAGGTCGGCGTCACCACCAGCCCCAGGTCAGGGCCCCTGCCTCCACTACTAGATGGGGGGGGGGCTCATACCCTGAGGGCCCCTCTCTTGTCTTTAACCCAAACCCCCAGCTCTGCTCACACCCACGGAGGCAGGCCAGACCCAGTGCCTGGGAATGGAGATAACCACCTCCTAGTCACCCAACAATCCCCCTCCAGTCCTGAGGGCTTGGGACACAGACTGGACCTTAAGGGATGGGGGATAGAAAGAACACCCACAGACACAACCCTGTGTGCCCTGGGCCACAGCGACTTCCAGCAATGGGAATTGTTCAAAGGTGGGACAGAGTGTCTTCTCAGAGAGTGACTTCCCCATCGCGGGAGGGCCTGAAGCAGCTAGGCGGCTATTTGTTACCGGTGAGTGCCAGACTTGGAGTCAGGGAGACCCGAGACTAAATCTTGCCTGTGTGACTGAGTGAGTTATTTAACTTTTCTGCGCCTCAGTCTCCTTATCTGTGAAATGGGGAAAACAACAGCACCTACCTCCACAGGGTCATTGTGAAGCTCAAATAAGGATAACAATGGCTAGGATTTGCCTAGAACTGGAAGAATGACGATAGCCGGCATTCACTCGTCCTGGTCTTGAGATTTGCAAAGTACTTTACAAACATTATCTCATTTTGTCCTTACATCAGAGCAAGGAAGCCGGTCTGAACGACAGAGCCCAGAGACCTCCGCCATCCGCCCCTATCATGCTCAGCCTTACATGTAAGTTACCCTGGATTTTTTTTTTTTGCGTACCTTAAAGTGTTACGCCAACCCCAGTTATTTGCACTAGTTACGGAGATTTCCAGTTGGCTGTAGGTGGGAAGTGCCTGGTAGCCGGATGAGCGGGGCTTCTTTGAGGAGTCTAACCAATCTGGCTCCCGTCAGTGACCCTGCTGCCCAGAAGAGCCCTGGTCCAGCAAGGCCAGCCCTTGGGGCAGAAGCAGGGGCCGGGCCGGTCAGTGCTTACCACTTAGCCACGCCGCTGAAGGGCAGTGGGAGTAAGGAGGTATGACGTACTTGTAAATTTAATCTCCATCATTAATATTTTCCCCATCACTTTTTAAAGTCTGGACAATCAACAAAACAATAAATCAAACCCTGATTTGTAGTTCGCTGATTTCTGAGGGATAAATGCTCGCCGTGGAAATTTAACAATCAGCTCTCACAGTCTGCATACAGAAGGGACCTCCACGGTCATCTAGGCCAGTACCCTTATTTCATAGGTGAAAAGAGGTGAGCTGACGTGGGGTCACAGATCTGAGGCAGAAGGAACCTAAGAGACCGTTTTCTTGTAACCGTCTCATTTATGTACGAGGAATCTAAGATTGAACGACTTCTCTGAGATCACACAGGTAGAAAGCAGAGGAAGTAAGATTTGAACCCAGATAGAGCACCAGGCCTGGAGTCGGTAAGACTCAGCTTCATGAATTCAAATCTGGCCTCAGACACTTACTAACTGTGTGACCCTGGGCAGGTCACCCTGCCTGCCTCAGTTTCCTCATCTGTAAAATGACCTGGAAAAGGAAATGGCAACCACTCTAGTATCTCTGCCAAGAAAACCCTAAATGGGGTCACGAAGAGTCAGACAGGACTGAAAAATGGCTGACCAGCAACAACTCCTAATTCGGACTTGTCCGTTGCTGCGGGCTGCCCGTGAGCAGGCAGATGGCCAGAGGTGCCTGGCTCTCCTGTCTGGGGAGCTCCCAAATGTGGCCATCACCAGAACGGGCAGGACCTCATCTGAACACCAAAGCCTAGAGACCTCCATTGCCTGTCCCTCTTCTACTCCGAGAGCTCATTAGGAATACCATGTTGCTCTAATTACTCTTCCCAGCAAAAAGAGTGTTTTAAATTAAAGCCAGGTTTGGGGGTGGGGAGCAGGAGGAGGATTTAGTAAGTTATAAAATAAATTGCCCAACTTTCTAGTGGAGTTGGGGAGGGGGGAGACAGGTAGAGCAGCTCCTGGCAAATTTCCTGAAAACCAAGGTTCTTTCCCACTTCTGACTTAGGGGAGACAATTCCCCGGTGGGCCTTTGTCAGCATCTGGACCCCCCTTTTCCTCCCCACACTTGGCATGCAGAGGGAGAAGCGGGGCTCTGTCTCTGCCATCGGAGCAAGCTCCTTAGGGTGGATCCAGGGCGGGGGGGGATGGATGCTACTCTGCCCTCCCGCCCTCACTAATAGGAGCCGGACCCGGGAGGCTGGCCCTCAGCTCCGGACGCCTGGCTGCACACTGCCCCCAAGACAGGGTCACCTCCTTTCCCAAGCCCCGGAATGAGAGCAAGGGGCCTCCTTCTCCTCCACGCTTTAGTCCCTTCCCAGCACACACAAGGGCCTCAGGAAATCCCAAATGGAAGCTTTTTTGACTTTACTCCCCCTGGCTATGATGCCCTGCTTTTGTCTTCTGAACAAAGAGAAGACAGGAGGAGAAGGGGTAGAGGAGAGTCAAGTGGGGCTGAGCTAGGAAAGAGACAGAAAGAAAGAATAAGAAGCATGTGGTGGTAGGTTTCTGGGTTTTTTTCCCCTCTGTACCTTGCACTTAAGGAGGGCTTACATTTCATGAATGGGGCAGTGGATAGAGCCATGGGCCTGGAGTCAAGAAGGCTCATCCTCCTGAGTTCAAATCTGGCCTCTGACACTTACTAGCTGTGTGACCCTGGTCAAGCCACTTAACCCTGTCTGCCTCAGTTTCCTCATCTGTATAATGACCTGGAGAAGGAAATGGCAAACACTCCAGTGTCTTTGCTGAGAAAACCCCAAATGGGGTCACGAAGAGTCAGACAGGACTGAAAAATGACTCAACAACAGAAAACATTCCACGGATGTGGGCAGGGTGACCTGTGTGAAGAATCTGGGAAACAGCTTAACTGGAAAATAGAATACATGAAAGGGAGAAACATGAAATGAAGCCGGAAAGGCAGGAGGAAATCAGCGGGGGGAGTCTAGTCTGTCCTAGAGGCACCGGGCAGCATGACACGGTCAGACCGGTGCCTTAGGAAGATTGTGTGGAGGACGGCTCAAAGGCTCTCATGGTTAGCACATGACACAGAACAAGTGCCCCAGACCAGGGGTCTCCTCCCATGGCAGTTTCTCCTTGCAACATTCAGCGCCAGGTCTCTCCAGAAAGGCCTCTAGAGGCTGCCGGTTTGGATATCCCCACTGGAAGTAAGTTCTCTGAGGGCAGAGACTCTTTGTACCTTTCTTTGTATTCCAGCGCTTTGCACAGTGCCTGCCATATAGTAAGTGTTTAATAAATGTTTGTTTGATTGATTGGATCGAATACTGATTGAATAATTCATTGTACCCAGTTTTTAAAGGAATACAGCCTCTTCGTTTCCTGCCTGGTAATGAAGGTTATCCCCAGAGAGCGGACCATCACAAACCTCAGCACTGCAGCATCAAAAAAGGAGCTCAAGTGTCACCTAGTCCAAGAATCTCCCTTAAAACACCCCCAACGAGTGGTCATCCCCACTTTGATCGAAGACCTCCGTGGAAAGAGAAACTCACGGTCTTCCACGGCAGCTCCTTCCACTCTGGGACAGCTGGCACTCAGCGCCTGGAAGTTTCTCCTTATGTCAAGCCTAAATCTTTGCACCTCCCACCTGATGTCCATAGTTCTTTCCTCTGGGGACAAGTGGAATTAATCTAACCCTTTTCTCCGTGACGGCCCCTCAAACACTTGAAGACAGCCATCAGGTCTCACCTCTCCAGTCTTTTCTTCTCCAGTTCCTTAAAATGGTGCTCCTAAAGCATGGAGTCAAAGACTTTAGCCACCCTATTTGCCCTTCTTTGGACACTCCATTTATCAGTTTCTTTCCTAAAACATGGCGCCCCGAGCTGAACATGATACTCCCAGTATGGTTTCCAGGTCATGCATCACCAGCTGCCTTTTGGCTAATATCATCTCAAACTCAACACACCCAAACCTTAACTCGTTATCTTCCCCTGCCCCAAACCCTCTGTTCTTTTCAACTTTCCTATTATTTTCAAGGACACCACCATTCATGCAGTCTCCCAGGCTCACAGTCTCAGCATCATCCTCGATTCCTCCCTGGCTCTCATCCCACATTTCTGCTCTGTTGGCAAATCTTGTCGTTTCTGTTTTCACCATAGCGATCACATATGTCCCCTTCTCCACATTCACACAGCCAGCACCCTAGTTCAGACCTTCATCGCCTCACTCCCAGACTGTTACAACCTCTCCTTGTTCCAGTGCATCCTCTGCTCACTTCAGTAATCACTTAATAAATGCCCATTGACTGACTGAAAGGACAACCTCGCCTTTCACCTAAAGGAATTCTAAGTATCTTTCCAGCCCAGTCACCTATCCCCCTGCTTCCTCTATCCTGCTCTTTCTCCTAATGCCCTGCACCTTCCAGCTCTTCTCCTCCACATCCTCCTCATCAGTGGTCAGAGGAAAGCCATCCACACCTCCTCCTGCAGGAAGCTGCTCCTACCTGCACTGACCCCTAGATTCTGGAAAATGTGAGCCTCCCAATTGGCTGTTGGTTTTATGCCATTCTACAGTGTTTTCTCACTGCATGGGTGTCCCGGGTCTACAAGTTTCTTGAGGCCAGGGGCTTTAACTGCCCCTTCTCTCGTCTCTCTGACAATAAGAGCCCAGGGTGAATCTTACTGAAGAGACTGCACCCAACCCCTTCTACCCCCAGCTCCCAAGAAGGCAGGCACATTACCCAGAGTGGTCCAACTCACCTCATCTGCGACGACAGAGATCTCGTCCGGCTGCATCAAGTGGGTTGGTTTATTCCATTAAAGTTGTTTGATTTTCAGGAGGGGAAGAAAGAGGGAATAGAAAAAATAAACTTCATATTCATGGACTACTTTACATTGTTTGTAACAAGCTTCACAAACACGATCTCGTCTGAATCTTAGACTAGTCCATTGAGGTAAGGACTAGAAGTACCACAGACAGGGGCAGCTAGATGGCACAGCGGATATAGCACCAACCTTGGAATCAGGAGGATGTGAGTTCAAATTCGGTCTCACTAGCTATGTGACCCTAGCAAGTCACTTAACCCCAACTGCCTTACCCAAAAGTAAATAAATAATTTTTAAAAAAGGAAGATCCAGTGTAATTGGAAATGCAAAAGAGAGAGAGAGAGAGAGAGAGAGAGAGAGAGAAAAGTACTACAGACAGAGGAGAAAACAGGTTCAGAGAAACCAAGTGACTTGCCTGGAGTCACCCAGCCTGTAATTATGAAAGGCAGGAAAGTAACCCAAGTCTTCCAGGCTCCTTGTCCAATTCACCAAATGGAACCACCCTGCCTATTTACATGCACATCTGATATCTCCCCCAAGAGAACGCAAGCTATCTGAGGTCAAGAACCATTTTATTTGGTTTAGCATACTAAGCACTTAGTAAATATATATTCATTGGTTGATTACCTAATGGGAACTCTATCTCCTCAACAAACCCATAATCTAGATGACTCATATGTCAGAAATTAGCTGCCCAAACATGACTTCTTAGGCTAAATAAAAGAAAGATGTTCCTGACCATCAGAAGAAGGGGACCTTAGCAGAGGCTGCCAAAGCTAAGGGATGACGGTGATCTGTATCACAATCTTGTCTTCTATATCTTCCCTGGTTGGGAAGGTGATGGGATCATCACCCTTTGAGAGTTCTATGTAAACAAAGGTTTTTGTACATTAAGACTGTGTAAGTGCTGAAGAAAAGAGAGTTAGCTGGACAGAAACTCTACAAAGGATATGTGGTGAAGTATTAAAAAAAAATTGGATTTGAAATCAGAAGACTAAGGTGTAAATTCCAGCTCTGCCCCTTACTAGCTGTTCACTAAGTGACCTTGGGCGTGTCAATTAACCTCCTTGGGCCTCAATTTTCTTGCTTGTAAAATGGTGACAACAGTATTCATACTACCCATTACAAAGATGTATTGTGAGGAAAGCACTTTGTAAACCAGAAAACGAGGCTGCACACATTCTCTAAGTGTGTGTCCCTTCCTGTGTGATCACTGGCCACGTGGTTTCCAGCAGGTATGTCTTTTTACGCTTGTTTGGGGTGAGCAGTGTCCTCTTCTCCACTCATAGGGTAATAATCTGTGGCAGAACATACAAGTCTGTGCATGGGGGAATCTTTCTCATTATTTATTTTGCTACGCTATTTGATTTACCTTTAAATGAGTGTATTCTCTAGTTGGCTTGGTAAAAGAACCACACTAACGGGGGCTCAGAAGATATGGGTTTCAGCGGATACACCAAGTGCCTCGAACCTGGGCCAAGTGTTCTGGGGGCTCTGGGTGATATAATATTAATGATAATGCTGTTGACAGTAGCAACAACAACAATAATAAGAGAAGACAGACTCCTCAGGAAACCGGACCTAGAACAGCTTGGCTGAGAAAAGAGTCAAATTCCCCAATGCTGTCGTATGGAGGCTCATTTGCTGACCTGGGCGTGGCTGGATTCTGTGACTGCCCCATCCTCGGCCTGTCACCCAGGACAGAGCCAGGAAAGCGCTTTTGGGCGTGCCTAATGTCGCGGCTGAGGGAGAGCCACAGTTGATTCTCAGCGATCAGGTAGGTGGCAAGACACAAAGGGGCTACGTCCCTGCAGCGGCAGTCCTAGGAACTTGAGCCTGGGCTCTTGGATGGTGACAGCCCTGCCTGGCCAATATTTGCTTGGGGTTTTTTGTCTTTTTAGTTTTTTTCTCAATTACATATAAGCAAAATTTTTAACATTCTACTAAGATTTTTTGGAAAGTGAAAGAACAGCGCCTACCTCAAAACCAGGGATGTGATGGATTGCCGGCTGCAGGAAAAAGGAGGGGAAAAAGTCATTGCTATCCACTCCATAAAGTGGGGCTATGAGATGCTTCTCCCAAGTTCCCCCCTCCAATGAAATCCTTCCTCCAAACTCCCCATAAAAATCCTCTCTGCTGAGTTATTTATCTGACCTTCTTCAAAATGCTACCCAAAAAACACCTCCTCCCAGAAGCCTTCCCTGATAAAGCCCACTCTGCTGCAACACAGGTATCCTTTCCTGACTGAGGGGAAGCAAAGCAACCATGACTTGAGCCCTCGGCCACATCAGGGCCCCTAGGGACAGACCCAGCCAACTCGCTCAGCACGCAGCCTATGGACCCAGGATCTCACCTCCCACTCTGCCACTCTCCCATGGCCAGTGCCTCACCTTCTCCCTCTGGATGAGTTCAAAGGCTGCAAGCAGCTCCCCAGCAGGCCGGTTTCCCCTCACAATGGGGAACCACGTCAGCCGTGGCGCCCGGTGCAGGCTCGGTCGGCAGATGCAGCGTCCTAGGTACTCATCAGCACCCTAGGAGAAATGTGGAGGAGTCTGGCTTCACAAACCAACGCGGAGCCCAGACAGCAGGCAGAGAGACACATCTCCCTCCTCTCAGCACCAGGGTAGGGGCCTATGGGGGCAGAATGTCGCATGCACTGCCAAGTGCTGTCATTGTATGAGTCGCTTTTTCACTATTTTTCTTTATTACAGGGAGAGCTCAGTTCTAAGGTGGGAGGGGGTTTGGTAAGAAGATATATACAGAAATGACAAACAGTTTCTCATCTGATCCTCACAACAACAAACTTGGCAGGTAAATGCTACTATTACCCCCATTTTACAAATCAGGAAACTGAGGCTGGGAAAGAGGTAAAAGGATCTGCCCCAAGTCAGAGGCAGAATTCAAAACCAAGCCCTCCTGACTCTAAGTCAGGTCCTGGTCACTGCACCAGACCACCTCCTTCCTAATCACGAGGACCTCCTCATGATGCTCTGGGCTTCGGACAGGACCTTTGGGTGGGGTGGAAAAGCCAGAGGGAGGTAGACTCACATAGGTGTCATGATCGTACAACTCCACCACAATGCTGGGGGGGTTCTCTGAGACAGTCTTGGGGTCTCCGAAGATCTCAATCTCGTAGAAGATGAGCGTCTGGTCCCAGGTGGGATTCAATGCATTCTTCACCACCACCGTCTTCTGGCTTTGATGGAGGAAGGAGACGATGGCATACGGGTCTGTGTCAGGCAGTGAGGAAGAAGAGATAGGACAAAGTTGTGAGAAAGCAGATCTCTGACTCATGGTGGAAAGAAGTCAAGCCATTGGGGACCGCCAGGACTCATTAAAGAGAACCTGGGGAAGAGGGAGAGGCCGGCCACCTGAGCCAATCATCTCTGCAAATGAAAGCACTGAAGACCTCAATGGGCAGTCCAGTAAGGAGTTCATCTCCAAATGGGGAGAAGACTCAGATTCTGGTCCTTGGAAGTAGTTGATGTGATACAGACAGGATGTCAGAATGAGGATGGGGTGACCAGGCTGTGGTCCACCAGGCAGCTCCCCCCCAAGACCCTTTTACCAAGGCATCTTTTTATTCAGGCACAACTTACTTCCTCCCCTGCTGTACCCCACTACCTACTGCTTCCCCTTTCCCCCTCCTCCCAGGGGACAAGGGTTCCTAGGTAAAGAGCAAGGTTAGCCTCTCTGGAGATGGGCCACCACCTCGCCAGTATTCTGCACCATTCCAGGACACTGTACCCATCACTACCAAATTCTGTTCAACTAATTTATCCAGATCCAAGAATTCCTGGCCATAGTTCTGCCTGGGGATACTGATGCAAGACATCAAGACCCCAGCTTGGCTCCTAGAGCCACAGCTGAGTGTCAAGAAGCATGTATTAAGCACCTACTGTGTGCCAGGCACTGAGAATAAGAAGAAAAGTAAAAGACAGTCCCTGCCCTCAAGGAGCTCACAGTCTAGTGGAGAAGATGGCCAGGCAAGCAGCTATGAACAAACAAGCTAGTGATGATACAAATTGGAAATAATCCAGAGAGAGAAGGCGCTAGAGTTGAAGGGGATGGGGAAAAGCTTCCAGGAGAGCCTGTAAGGAAGCCAGGGGGGAATGAGGAGGGAGAGCGTTCCAGGCACGGCCAGACAGAATGCCCAGAGATGAGAGATGGGGCGTCTCCTCCAGGGAACACCCAGCAGGTCAGCATCACTGGATCAAAGAGCACGTGCTGAGGGATGAGGTCCATTGAGTCCAGCAGAGAGAAAGGGGCGCATGGTCATAGCTGGACTCCAGGGGCAAGAGTCTGAGAGGTGCTCAATGAACAGAGAAGGCAGCTTTGAGGCCAGTGAAGGATAACTGAAAGTTAGGAGAGGAATTTTAGGGGAAAGAAAAGGAAGTGACTTCCTCACTCGGGACCACCCAGGAAGAGCTGAGGGAAAGAGCAGGATTTGGGGACTAGATCTCCCATGAACTGAAAACAGCCTTGAATGTTTGCCCTAGGGGATAGGGCATGTTCTGAGGAAGGTGGATGGGGCTGCCCATTTGTCCTTTCTCAGATCGTGGGGATAAGGCGGGGAGGAGGAGTGGTCAGGTCTTCTGGAGAGAGATCAGATTAATGAAGAGGACACTGGCCGTGGAGTTTCAGGCCTGGCTCTATTTACTAACTACTTGTGTGACCTTGGAGAAGTTTCTTGACCTCTCTGGGCCCCACTGTCCTCATCTGTAAAATGAGAGGGTTGGATTGGATGAATCTTCCAGCATCCCATGACATTCTGACTCCTGGCTTAGCCTCCAAGGCACAGACCCAGGCAGGGTAAGAGATGCCTACAACCTTAGACCTGGCCAAGAGCAGCGTTAGCGTCTTCTAACACAAATAGTAATCACTAGCATTTATATCATGCTCTAAGATTTATAACGCACTTTGCAAATATGATCTCTTTTGTTCTTCACAACAACCTTGCGAGGTAAGTACTATTACTGGCCCCATTTTGTAGATGAGGAAACTGAGGCAGACAGAGGTTAATTGGCTTGTCCAGAGTCACATAGCTAATGAGTGTCTGAGGCAGGATTTTACATCTTCCAGATAAACAAAGGAACAATGGGAACCCTTCCCCTCTCATCCCACACACACTCTCTAGTCCTCCTTTCTATGTTGTCTCCCCCACACCAATTAAAACAGGTCTTTTTTGCTTGTATTTCTCAGTGTTCAGCACAATGCCTGGCACATTGTGAGTGCATAATATAGGCTTTATCAATCCATAATAATAATCATTAACACTGATGTAGGGCTTTAAGGTCCACAAAACAGGGAACAGAGCCAAGATGGCAGAGGAAAGGCAGAGACTCACCTGTGCTCTCCCCTCTTAATAACTTTAAAACAACACCTCAAAATGAATTCTGGAGCAGCAGAACCTAGAGAAGGATGGGGTGCAACAATTTTCCAACCCAAGACAACTCAGAAGGTCAGCAGGAAAGGTCTGTCTCACTGGGTGAGTTAACCGCAGTCCAGCCCAGCCCAGGCCTTTCCTGGCAAGCCAGGCTTTGAGGGTGACTGAATCAGGGGTGGTAGCTTCCAGAGCTCTTGGCCCACAGATGGTGAGTGGGTTGGACAACTGGTCAGAAGGAGATTACAGGGGACTGTGCTGGGACTGGGAGCAGAACTCTGTTGTGTTGCTCATACATGGCTCTAGATCACAACCCCAGGGTAAGGATGAGCACTAGCAGGAGCAGGGGCCCTGGTCACAGTTCCAGGGTAGAAAAGAGTGCTTGTCACTCACAGACCAGAGCACAGGCCAGGAGAGTAGTGACCACACCTCTCCTTAGATCATACCACCTTGGAAGAACTGGAAACTTACAAACCCCCAGAATTTGCTCTGAAAATAGCAGCACAAAAAAACCTGAGGCTTGGCACAGTACCCCCGCCACCCCAGGAGCAGAGTCCAACTTTAACATAAAGTTAAAAGTCAAGAAATAGGCTCAAAAATGAGCAAACAACAATAAAAATAACCTGACTATAGAAAGTTACTATGGTGACAAGGAAGATCAAAATACAAGTTCAGAAGAAGACAACAGTGTCAAGACAGCTATACCCAGAGCCTCAAAGAAAAAAGTAAATTGGTCTCAGGCCTCAGAAAAAGAACTTTTGGAAGAGCTCAAAAAGGATTTTAAAAATCAAATATGAGTAGAGGGAAATTGGGAAAAGAAATTAGTGATGCGAGATAATCATGAAAACAGAATCAACAGTTTGGTGAAGGAGGTACAAATAAATACTGAAGAAAATAACATCTTAAAAAACAGAATAGGTCAAATGGCAAAAGAGGCATAAAAATCCAATGAAGAGAAGACCACCTTAAAAAGTAGAATTGGCCAAATGGATAAAGAGGTGCAAAAGCTCACTGAAGAGAATAATTCCTTAAAAAATTGAATAGGCAAGTGGAAGCCAATGATTCCATGAGATATCAAGAAACAATAAAACAAAATTATGAAAAAATAGAAGAAAATGTGTAATATCTCATTGGAAAAACAATTGACCTGGAAAATAGATTGAGGAGAGATCATTTAAGAATTATTGGACTACTTGAAAGACATGATAAAAAAAAAAAGAGCCTAGACATCATTTTTCAAGAAACTATCAAAGAAAGTTGCCCTATCATAGAACCAGAGGGCAAAATAGAAATTGAAAGAATCCACCAATCACCTCCTGAAAGAGATCCTAAAATGAAAATTTTATTATAATTTTATTTTATAGGAATATTATAGCCAAATTCCATAGCTCCCAGGTCAAGGAGAAAATACTGTAAGCAGCCAGAAAGAAATAATCCAAATATTGTGGAACCACAGTCAGGATAACACAAGATTTAGCAGCTCCTACATTAAAAGAGAGAGGAGGGCTTGGGATGTGACATTCCAGAGGGTAAAGGAGCTAGGATTACAACCAGGGATCACTTACTCAGCAAAATTGGGTATAATCCTTCCGGGTAGGAAATGGATATTTAATGAAATAAAGGGCTTTCAAGCATTTTTGATGAAAAGACCAGAGCTGAATAGAAAATCTGACTCTCAAATATAAGACTCAAAAGAAGCATAAAAAGGTAAACAGGAAAAAACAGGAAAAAGAAATCATAAAGAATTCAAATGAGAAGATGATACTTGTAACTCCTAAGAACTTTGTCATTATTAGGGCAATTAAGAGTATATATAGACAGAGGGTACAGGGGTGAGTTGACTATGATGGGATGATGTCTAAAAAAATAAAATTAAGGGATGAGAAAGAAGAATGCACTGGGAGAAGGGGAAAGGGAGAGGTAGAAGATGGTAAATTATCTCACATAAAAGAGGCGTAAAAAAGCTTTTACATTTGAGGAGAAGATGGAGGTGGCAGACAACAGCTGAACCTTACTCTCATCAGAATTTATTCAAAGAAGGAATAACATACACATTTAGGTACAGAAATCTATCTTACCCTACAGGGAAACAGAAAGGGAAGGTGTGTGTTGCGGGGGTGGGGCATAATAGAAAGGAGGGTGGATTGGGGAAGGTAGTACTCAGAAGCAAGATACTTTTGAGGAGGGACAGGGTGAAAGGAGAAAGATCAAAGGAAACAGGAGGAAAATAGGATGGAAGGAAATACACAGTAATCATAAAAAATAAAAAAAAATTACAGTGTGTCTCTGATAAAGGCCTCATTCCTTAAATATATAGAGAACTGAGTCAAATTTATAAGAATACAAGTCATTCTCCAATTGATAAATGGTCAAAGGATATGAACAGGCAGTTTTCAGATGAAATCAAAGCTATCTGTAGTCACATGAAAAAAATGCTCCAAATCACTATTGGTTAGAGAAATGCAAATTAAAACAACTCTGAGGTGCCAACCCACACCTTTCAGATCAGCTAATATGACAGAAAAGGAAAATGACAAATGTCAGAGGGGACGTGAAAAAATAGGGACACCAATGCATTGTTGGTAGAATTGTGAACTGATCCAATCATTCAGGAGATCCGTTTGGAACTATGCCCAAATGGCTATAAAACTGTGCATACCCTTTGCCTCAGTAATACCACTACTGGGTCTGTATCCCAAAGAGATTTTTTTTAAAAAGTGAAATGACCTGTATGTACAACAATATCTACAGCAGCTCTTTTTGTGGTAGCAAGAATTGGAAATTGAGGGAATGCACATCAGTTGAGGTGGTGGTGGTAAATAAAGTGGTGGTATATGAATGTAATGG